TGTGGCCGTTGACGAGATCGCGCCGGCAGTTGGACACGCGCCGGGCGCCATGGGCCAGCAGCCAATGTCGTTGAAGATGACCGAGATGCGGTCCTTGGTGTCGCTGTAGCAGTCCTGCGGGCGCGTCGTCACGGGGTTGGCGTCCTTGCCGAGGCCCATGACGTAGAGGTCGGCCGTCTTGATCGACAGCAGCGTCACCTCGGACACGTCCGTCTCGATGTCGATGGCCGAGACGATCTGGTCGACGTTGGCGTCGAGTACGCGCAGCGCCTCCTCGAGGCGGCCGCTGTCGCGCGCGCGCCAGTAGGCCTTGAGCAGGGGCTCCTCGCGCAGCACGAGCTCGTCGACCCAGCAGGCCGTGACGGCGTCGAGGTCGTTTGTCTTGAGCCACTGGCCCCAGAGCTCGGTGCGGATGCGCCACGTCGGCACGGGCTTGTAGACGCGGACGTTCCACCGGCCGAGCCAGCGCAGGGGGTTGAGACGCGACAGCAGGCTGGGCCTCTTGTTCCGGGCGCAGCGGAGCATCTGGCGGATCTGCAGCGGGCTGTGGTAGACGAGCAGGTCGTCCGAGTCGAAGGCGTGGTCCTTGGGCAGCGCCAGCAGCACGGCCTCGTTGGCGAAGAGCGCCGGCGTGTGCGTCAGGGCGGTGCGGCGGCCGTCGTCCTCCTCGAGGAAGGTCGTGATGACGGGGTCGCGGCGGTGCGAGTAGTCGTACTCGGTCGTGTAGGTGCGGCCGGCGATCTTCTTGACGATGAGGCCGATGAACTTGGACGGCACCCAAGTCATGTCGTTGCGGTCGACGGGCGTGCCCCAGTAGATGGACAGCGAGTCGCCGGTGCCGGCGAGGCGGAAGCGTGCGTGGAGCATGGCGGCGCTGCCCTTGGGGCTCGACTTGTAGAAGTACTGAAAGGCAAAGTCGACGCCGTCGACGGTCACGGTGCCGCGGACGATGCGGCCGTGCTTGTCGTAGTAGCCGACGCTGTGGTAGTCCTTGTGGACGTGCTCCTTGGTTTCGGGCCGGCGCGCGCTGCTCGCCGGGTCGTAGTGGTACGTCGCCGTGCCGGCACCCGTGTCGTGGCGGCTGACGAGGCGGTACTTGGCGTCGTACTTGGTCGTGAACAGCGGCACGCCTTTGTCGGGCACCTCGGTGAGCTGGCCGTTGTAGACGGCGAGCGACATGCCTTCGTCGTCGTCGTCGCCGGCCGAAGCGAAGCCCGTCTGGAAGGCGCGCGTGAGCTCGACGACGATGGTGTTCTTGACAATCTTGCGGCGGGCGCCCTTCTTCGCGAGCCTCGTCAGCTTGACGAGCGTGGGGCGGTGGTAGACGATGAGCCAGTAGACCCAGAGGTTCTTGAGCAGCCAGCAGGCCTTGAGGATGAGCAGGATGACGCGCAGCAGGGGGCCCCGGAAGCGCACGTTCCTGCAGGCAGTAGAAGAGCTCGCGCTCCATGTTGGAGCCGGCGCCCGAGATGATGGCGATCCACTTGACGACGAGCGCCGGCACGCGCACGAAGCCGCGCCAGATGGTCTGGACGAGGCCGCGATGGTTCTTGCCGCGGCGGATGACGACGGGGTACAGCTCGGCGGGCGCGTCTTGGGCGGCGAGGACGAGGTCCTGCGAGGGCAGCAGGATCATCTGGTCGAGGCGGTCGCGGCACGCGGCCTGGAGCCGGAGGGTCAGGGCGACGTGGAAGTCGGCCGTCTGGAGGTGGACGTTTGTGGGCCGCCGCCCAGAGGACGAGCTCCGAGGACATGACGGTCGGCTTCGCCGTCGATGCGGTCGAGGATGGCCCTCGCGCCGCAGAAGGCGGCATGGCCTCCCACTGCGCGTCGAACATCGACGCCCGAGGCAGAGGTGCTCCATGAGGTTCATCTTGGTCTTGCGTGCGAGGCGGAAGGAGGCTCGACGCGTGCTCGGGCCACAGCTCCGACTCGAACCGCTTTCGACAGCGCCGTCGTGCCGTGGAGCATGTGCTCGGTCTGGACGGCCTGGGCCGTGGGGAGACGAAGCTCCGTGGCGGCGACGTGGTAAAGGAGAGCCTCGCAGACGACGCTGGCCAGCAGGGGCTGCCACGAGGGCAGGCGGCGCTCCGTCTCGCCGGTGAAGCAGACGGCGACGTGGAGGACACCGCGGTCGCTGTAGCTCAGCGAGTGGCAGTCCTCGAGACCGGCATCGCTGAAGTGCTGTCGGCTGAGGACGGCGGCCGTCAGGCGCCCGGACGTCCACATCTCGAGGGCCGTCTCGAGCAGGTCGGCCGAACACGGCGCATCGCGCGCCGTCTCGTTGGGCTCGGCGACCGTCAGCTGCAGCACCTCATGCATCTTCTTGGCGAGGCCAGTGCCGTCCTCAAAGTTGACGGTCGCCTGGGTGAAGCTCGCGGGGAGGTCGCCCTTGAACAGCGTCGGCGCGGCCTGCTCGTCGAGGCTCGCCATCATGTGGCGCTGGAAGGTGACGGTCGGCTCGTCGTAGGCGTCGCGGCCGCCGCTGCCGCGCGACGCCGCCAGCACGGGCGCCGCCGTCCAGTCCTTCCAGGTGAAGAGCGACGTGCCGGCGGCGGCGAGGGCGCCGGCCAGGTTCTGGCAGAGGACGTCGGTGTAGAGGAACTTGGCCGTCTGGGGCAGAGCGTGGAGCAGGCAGCCGAGGACGAAGCCGACGAGGGCCGAGCAGATGATGATGGTGACGTGGACGCGCACGTTGGTGGTGAAGCACCGGTTGAACTGGAAGATGAGGGCGCAGGTGTAGCCGAAGATGTAGCAGTAGTAGAGGATGGTCGTCTCCTTGCTGTCGACGAGCAGCCACATGAAGAGGGTGGCGAAGCCGAAGACGACGAGCAGCTTGCCCATGATGTCGACCCAGGCCTTGCCGAGGGCCGCCTTGCGCTGGCGCTCGGCCTCCTCGGCCACGCGCTTGGCGTGCTCGAGGTCGCGCAGCTTCTCCTCGGACAGCTTGTCGCGGACGCCCCAGTACTTGTAGAGGGCCGTGTCAAGGGTCATGGCGCCGAGGCAGAAGTAGATGATGGCGAAGCAGAAGCCGTAGCGGGCGCGGTTTCGTGTAGATGCTCGGGTAGGGACGGCGGGCGCTCAGT